CGCCGACAGACCATGACTTGATCCAACTATATTGTAAATAATACTACAAGTATTGTGAAAATAGCTTAGAAAATAAGCTTCATTTTTCGAGATCCCGAAGAAACTGAATATCAATGATATGGCATGAATGCACCAGCTGGCATTTAGTTATATGAAATTCATTTGCGCTTTGGCATTAATTTGAATTCTCCTAGGCTGTTGTTAAATAAACTAATTCCAGTACATATTTTAGTCCATAAATATTAACGGCTAATTCCCACATATGCGCTGTGCATATCATCTGTCAAATTTAATACCCAAAATGCCAAAACGAATGACAGCGCATTCAAATAATATGACAGATGCTATTCAAATATTTATGCGATACATCGAACCTTTCACATTTATAGCTTCGTCCAACCGCGCTTCATTCGCATACCTATAAATGGTAGTAGGGTATATGTACAGGAATTTTGCTTTTGACCGAGTATTTATATACTCGTGAGTGTTTGTGAGCACATAACCCTAAAATTTGGGGAAGTAAATGAAGTGACACGTTTGTTGTTGTAAATATGTGTATACATTCACTTACGTGCATACTTGTATATCGGCGATAAAGCGATTTGTATGAATTATTTTGCGAGGAGCAAAAACAGTTAACGGCGAAAGTGGATTCCATTTCGAGTTTGGTTTATCCTTTAGTGGAAAAAAAATGTAATATCGTTTAGTACTTTTATTCCGTACAGAAAATGAATTTAATATAAATATTTCAAGCAATATATGCAAATAGCCACAACTTGTCAGCAAGTTCTAGTTCGGTGCTAGTACAATTCAGACTAGTGCTTGGTAGATTTAAAACCACATAGTACTCAGGCAAAAGTTATACACGACTGCAGTGTCGGTCAATCATCAGCAAGGATATAATATAGTAATTTCTAACTTCGCCAGGGACTACTTTACGATGATTTTATCAAGCTTCAGGAGGTATTTTGGTCTCACGGCGACACTATTTTCGTCTGAAAACGTTAAATTGAGGTTTTTTGCTCTAAAAATAGGTAATTCCAAGGCAGTGAAGTGGATATCATCCTTACTAGTTGAAATTGAGATTTACACTAGTTTTACATTCATTAATAATCCGTACATTTGGCATCCAACCACAAATGCAAGTATTTATCCGTTAACTCATCAAAACTATTGTAACGACATGCGACATGCATTTGTGTAGTGGGGTGGCGTCTACAATCGCACAAACCGTATTTGCAGTAATTTGCGGATGCTAATCTTTCAACTGACACGCGCTAATCGGCACTCATCACGCAGCAATTTGAACATTGGCAAATTGGATAAATGTACATACATATTATACTTAGTTGTCCTATGGTGATTATATCTATTGCAATATATCACTAAGTAGCGCCTGTTTTCAACCGCCATCTACAACCAATATCATAAAATTTTCACTCATGGCAGCCGCACAGCAGGTGGACTATGTCAGAGATAGACGTATATTTCTGTCATAAAAAATTCTTCTAAAAACTTATTCATTCGAAGAGGGCTTAAAACTTGTAGAACCCTGTATAGGTATATCGAACATAATCAAGACATGCATAGCAATGCTAAAATATGCTCATTTCTTTGTTTAACTTACACAGGTTGTAGTTTCACACACAACCTTTCACACTCATACGTTAGAGTTGTTCCCTTAGTGACGCTGAAAGCCTTCATTCTACTTTTTAATACAAAGAAATCGCTTTTCAGACCTAATTGCTCTCATCTTTTCAAGGTTATCGTCTTTTTTTATTAATATTTTTAACTAAGTTTTCCACAATATATAGGTATGTATATCTCTTTTTTTATTATTTAGAATATAATGCATTCTCATATATACATATACATATGTACTCTAACAAATTATCTACTTACAACAACTGCAGCGTTTTCTAGTAAAATTATTTTTTATTTTATTTCCAATAAATATTGCCGCAAATTTGTGAATATAACTGCTGTTTAAACGGCTTTTGTATTCAAATTTTATGGCAGCTAAACTGAAAGGAATTTGCATAGCGCTTTTTTTTCTGGCAAAAATTTTCAGCAAAACGAGAAATATGAATTTTCTATTATGCACTTAGCCGCTTTTTGTTTGTAATTAAAAGCATTGCTGTGGCAGCAGCTGGTCTTGGCAAGCCTTTTATCTCCGGCTTTAGTTTGGCTATTCGCTGGCCAAAAATTATTATCTGGACAGCAGCCAAAATAGCATGTTGAATAATGCTAGCTTTGGAAGTGGTTTTTTTTTCCATCAATTTTTCTGTTTAATTTAATGCAAAAATGCTAGCTGCGCTTGCATCTTTATAAGATTCTAACAGAAGCAGTTTTTTTTTTGCACATTTTTGCGAAAATTTAATTTCATTATTTTATTCTTTTTATTTGGTGAATATTATATAAATATGCTATAAGCACTTAGATGTGCTTGTTGAAAAACAGTTAATTACAGCAATGCGAGATTTGCTATCGATGCGCCGACACACAGCATATACAGTTATATAATTGCGTGCAAGTGTGTGTGTTTCCAAAATTTAGTTATCGATTTTTGTTTTTATAGAAAAAATTCTTATTTTATTTGTTTAACTGTTCCCAGATACCAGTGGGAGTCATTTATCCACATTGTTTTCGTTACAATATTTTAATATATTAATAACTTTTAATTGCATCAATATAAAATATGGTATAATAATTGAATGAATTATTCTCTTATTTACAGTTACTCATGCTACATATTATATTTCAGAGTCCCACAAAGACTTTAAGCCACAATATTATCGCATATGCGGATCTGTCGAGCCAACTTTAGGCTCAATTAATTGAAGTCTCCTCATTATTTAGTTGAGATCTGTTCTATTCACCACCCCCCATACACTCAAAATCTTGAAAATGTTCCAAAAAAAAAACTCTTGGCTTCCATATTACTATTGACAGTCCTAACTTCGAAGTATTATCTAATAACGTCTAAATTCGAATGAGCAAAAATATTAAAAATCATGTCAGCCTCGAAATATGAAATCTTCCGTTAAATTGCTATCGAATCCAATAATAAGTTAAGTCTTCTCTCGTCAAATAAAACCAGAGCTTCAATAAGTTCAAATCTCGTAGAAAAATATAAAGAAATATATAGAAAAGATTAAAACATCCGAAGAAAAATACATCAGCTGCTTCATAGCTAAATTCGATATCAACATACCTAGGCGATTATGTACTTTCATGCTATAGGTCAACATTCTTTGTAACTAAATTTAACCCTGAACGCTTCTTTCAAGCAAAATACAACAAAGTGAGAAAGCAGCGAAATTTTTAGAGCTCAATAGATCGATCTACGAAGATTAAAGTGTTTAATTGTCATTTTTGCGGTCTACAAAACAGTTTTTAGAGTACAGTTATACCTAAAACGCTATGGCACTATGATCGATCCTTCGTTTTAAAAGCAACTCCAAGTATGTCATAAAGCAACGCCATTAAGACCAAAGACACAATAAGTTGCTTGTTGATTGCGAACTCCATAGAATCGAGCCAAATGTTATGTAAACTTGCTTTCAAAGACTCCCAACTCTGTTCCACCTACAGCTACGCATAACTGCTGAATGCAGCAATAAAAAGCGAAAGTTACTGAGCAACGCTATAAGCAGCTCCAGAACACAATAATTAACAATCAGTTAAAGAACCCAGAAAATTTATAAAAATTTGCAGCTTCTTGAAGAAATGCAAAAAAAAGGCTTTCCTTTCACCCTCGTAAATAAGCACTTCCTACTTTGGCATACTTTGAAAACTTTTTGCTGCATTGTGTCTTCAAAGTTTTCGACTTAGTTCGAAATTCTCCTTTTGTTCGCATGCTGCCTAAGTCTAAGGAAGCAGTCCGCCGACCGAATAATTCTAATTATATTACCGCTTTTGGAAGAATGGTAACAGTAAATGAGACTGACGCATCAAGTGTTGGCTGCTCTTTCGCCGCAATGCACTCAATTCGCTAGTTACCATGTAGTCGCATTGTCTTTTTACTCTCATAATGGCTGAAATACATATGTATATAGAAACAGTGAAATATACATTTCTAATACGAAACTAGTGCAATTCCTGGTGCTAGCATTAGTCCTCGAAAACTGCGATTATAATGGCCTGGCTGCCCCTGCTGTTTAGCATACTGCTAAGTTATCCCAGATTTTTGCTGTCTATTTTGCCCAAATTTTTCCTTAAGTAATAAATTCTCTCTCACCAAAGATCTGTGATTCACGGCGCTTCACAAAAACAAGTCCAACGAGATAAATTTGAGGCGCTAAGTAGATCATTCGCCATCATCGGGATCGTTACTAAGCCGGTTACCGAACTTGGCGTTCAAAATACCAGTCGATGGCGCAATATATTGCAGAATCTTAAGACGACGCAAATATATGCCTTCTTTTACAGTATCAATTTGCTTGCCGTCTTATAAAAATATTTTACTTTACTCTCTTTGAATTAGTATTTGAGTGAGCTCAGCAGCTGATCGAAATTTGAACTCCCGTAGAACAACTTTATCTCTGAAGTACCAGTTAAGACTTGTGATACCTACTAGTTTTGTGGTAAGTAGTTGCAAAACTAGTACTAATTCTATTTGATTGCAAACTTACTTCACTACAACTCTACCAGCTCACTTTCATATTTCGAACTATTCTTTGCGCCATCTGTGGTTGCCACCTTTCCGGCAACTGCTCTGTGGCCCACAACAATGCAGCATTTGTAATGCGCTTCACCGTCTCACTCACTAAGTGCGTTTCGCCACAAAATTCAACGTCTCAAAAGTTGCGAAAAAATCACTATAATTTGTACAGCAAATAGAATTTGCAATTTTAATTTGTTTACTTCGCTGGCATTGTTATTGTTGCTGCCACGAGTATTGAGTGCATGCAAATAGTTGGAAAGAGACATCCATTCTTTGACTTTCGCGCATGTACAATTATGTCGACTAGTTGTGTTTATAATTATTGTGGCATTCTAGGTAATTAGTGTACTGAAATGTTTGTGGTAGTGAATGTGCAAAATGTATTTAAAATACTCAAAATATGCTCAACGACTTTTAATAAAGTTGAAATAAATTTTTAAAACTTTTTGGTTTTCTCGGGAAAGAAAAAATTATTTTTTTTATGTATTGGAAGTAAATAATATAGCAAATTATAGGTTTCGTATATTCTACACTCAGCGCTGAAATTTCGCATCTAATTTTGACAATTGATTGCAAAAAACTACATATAGCATATATGGTTCTTAAACTTGGATATAGAAACAAACAGACATCTTTTTTAAAACTCTGCCCATGACGCGGCCTTGAATGCTCCAGGTGAGATATAGTTTCAGCCTCAGAACCTATAAACCAAACAACAAAATTATCTTTATAACCAGTTATGACTAGGCGCAAGCTTTTTTGAATATTTGAAAACCTGAAAAATTTACAGCGATTTAAAAAAGTGCATTTTTTGACAAAGAAACCCAAGCTAAAAAACGACTAAAAATCGAAAAAAAAAATCTTCCAAAAAAGCTCGTGTTTAAACATCGCGAGATGTTTGGTGCAGCAGTGGCAGTTTACAGATTTCGAATATCTTGTATAGTTTTTAGACTCGTGGCAGATTAAGCAAGTAAGTAAGGCCTAACTTTGGGTGTAGCCGAGCTTTCTATATTCTTACAATTAGCAAAACCAAATGCCGGGAAAATACTTTCAGGTGTTGCAAAACTTAAAAAAAAGTCACATTAAGCATATTCATATGTTTACCGGTATAAAGTAAACAGAAAGTTCGAAAATGTTTATGTTAAGTATAAAGGGGCTAATGTAAGCATCGACCCGATTTTACCCTGTTTGAACTCAAGGGTACACTAATAACAAAACAAGATTCTCTCTGCATTTCCATAAAATTATTATGGATTTTGCTCAAGGTTTTATTCCATCACTATATTAGTGTTTGTTTTAAATTCTATAAAGTGCAAGAGTCAGATGCAATTTAATAGATGCAATGGTATATGCAAAGTTCATTTCACATAGTAACATAGGTTTCTTAAAGTTATGTCACACGCCAAATTTAGTTGAAATCAGTCAAGTTGCTACTGAGATATAGGAATTCACCTAAAAGTGGGCGGTGCTACGCCCATTGTCCAATTTTTATACCCGGGCTTATAAATCCTTTCCATACTATTTTGGTTGTAAAATGTAATGCTTGAGCCGCATTTACTTAGTGAGTCATCGCACTTTTCGTGGTTTTAATTTTAACCGTTATATGGGGAGTGAGCGTGGTTATTATTTAATTTTACCTATTTTTACAGTGTATGAAGAAGTGCTAAAAAAAACTTTTTCACTGCATATTTGGTTGATTTAGCTTCAGCGGTTTGGAAGATATACCAACTAGGGGGCGGAGTCACGCCTACTTTAAAAAAATTTAGCCAACTGCTGGTTATCATTTAATAGCGTTTTGTGGGCGTGGCAATGGTCCGATTCCCCCCACCAATCCCCTTTTGCGCCAGGAATCATGTGCACAAAGTTTCATTACCATAACTCAAGTTGTACTCAAGTTATCGCTTGCACGGACAAACGGACGGACCGACAGTCACCCGGACTTCAACGCGTCTTGTTATCTTGATCATTTATATATGTATAAATAACACTACATCGTACTCGATGATTTTTAAGTGATACAAATAGCCGTTGGGTGAACAAAGCTGTTTATTTGTGAAGGTGCAACCGAAGTGAATGTTTTTTTCTTGTTTTATAATTAAACTAAACCCTCTTTTAGTTAAATATTTACTTCTATATACTTCACTCTGAACTGACATAGAGATATTCATTATTCTCAGATCATCTTTCTTAGTCCCATAACCTTGACAATTCAATCATTAAACCCCTGGTAGCTTTCCGCCAACTCAAATGTTAGAAAATAATGCTTCTGTTCATAACTTGAAGCTCAACAATTTTTTAAGTATGCTAAGCACCGTTAAGCCTGCAATATTTCACAGCAGAAATACATTCATAGCGGAGACAAGCTCAGAAGAAGAAATAAATTAAAATTTTTAAATAAGCATTGCCGCAGATAATCTTCAGCTAAGCGTGTGAGCAGGCAACTCTCAACATAAACAACTAAGCGGTAAAGATAACAAATGTACGAAGAAACAAAACACTTTATACCCAGTGGAACGACGAACCAGAGTAAGAAAAATTTTAGATAAGAAAAGGTTGAAAATCTAAAAATGAATATTCAAATGAAAAAAATCTACTTTTTGCGCCTGCGGAACTTCGTAATACTTCGTACAAGTTTGGAATTATAGCGGAGTTGTACTATGCGAGATACTCCTCTCCCCTGCCGAACTTCATACTAGTTCCGGACTATAGAAAAGGTGTGCTAAAGGAAGCAAACGACTCGCCACGACACGGTATTTCTTTCTCTTTATTCATATGAAAGAAAGCGCTGAGTGCGGACCAGCAATGATGTTTGGAGCGCTCGATCCGAAGTAACGCCAAGCTAGTGCACTTCACCGCAGGGTACAAGCATGCGACCCTGCGCAGGCATGCGGCTGTGCTTCAAAAAGACAATCGGCTAATGCGCTGCACCGAAGTGAGTAGCACAAGACTGAGGATATGCGCTCATAAATATGAAGGTCACGACACGCTGTTTGAGGTGTGGAAGAGTAGACAAGTGTGAGTAGAGATATATGAGTACATCTACACACACACACACATGCGTATACTCGTGTATATATGCTATATATACACGTTATCTTTATTTTTGTCGCATGTAGCGGCTCATCCGTTTATGCACCTGCAAACATTTATGTATTCAAAGTCATATATCCACTTTTCCTGCTTGCCATTTTGTATAGTAGTTTGTGTGTATATGCTTTTTTTTTTATTTATATATGTGTGTGTCTGTGTTCGTGTGTGCTTGCGTGTCTTTTGTGACACCAGCGTGAGAACAATTGCCTTTGGGAACAAAATTGCCGTCATAGCATTAAAGGAACACACTCTTTTACACACACACATACACACACCAGCGCTTTTACGAAACAGCAACTCTCGCAGCCTCACAGCCTCGCCGCATTGGCCACCTTGCGGCACACAAACACTTCGTTGCGCCGTTTCTTTTGGTGCTACGTTTGACTGTGGCACCTGCGGCTGTGCTGTGGCAAGCAACAGACAAGTAGGTGTAGCATAAAATATGTCAAAGTGCAGGTAAACAATGAAACGAAAAAGTGCAGATATGTTGCCAATTCATATAAATATCTAGTTTTTGCCTCCTTTCTCTTTTTTTCCGTTTTTCTTTTCGCTTATTTATTTGCTTTTGCCTTGCTTTTTTATTATATTGCCGGCAAAGCACATCAAAAAGCTACCACACTTTAGGCTCTTCATCGTGGATGTGTGTATTCTTTTGCGCGATAACTTAGTAAATACGCTATTGTTGTTGCACAGCTGTTTATCGTCCCACTGATAGCATGTATTTGTAGGGATTTTCCATTTGTTAGCGCCTTAAATGCGCCGTGCTAAGCTTACTATATTTACATGTTTGTTTATAAATAATGTATGTTACTCGCGTTTTATTAACTTAAATATTTTTATAAACATGTGTATATTTGTATAGCATACATACAAAGCAGCGAAAGTAATTTCTTTAGCAAACTTTTGCTTGGTGCATCTGCTTGAGTGTAGTAGGCAGGTTACTCATACGCACAGCTGTACTGTGAAGTTTTAGCTTCGTAATAACATTTATTTCAGAAAAAAAAATTTTTTTTTAGTTGATAAACGTTATTTTTTCAGAAGAAACGTGCACATATCAAGTAAGTTGTTAAAAAAAAGCAAGTGACTGGAAATGGTTAGCGAACTGAAAATACTACTTTATTTATTTCATATCTCAGTTCTATTTTCAATTCAGCACATATCAATCCCTTAGCAAAACACATGTGTATTATAAAAGCGCAAATAAAATTTAATTTCAATTAAGTAACAATTTTCAATCACATAAACTCATTCAAAACGATGAAAAAAAAATATTTTTAAACAATATTCCAACGAGTTGTTATACATAAAGCTGAAATATTTTTCATCTTTTTCCAAACATATATTCTTTTTAACTATATGAATGATATATTTCTTAAACCCTGTTTTTAATATACCCAAGTTTGCCGCAAAGTTTGTAACACCCAGAAGCAACCGGCAGAAATCATGTAAAGATGATACATAAATGAACAGTATGGCAAGCTCCGTCGATTTAGCCTTATTAGTCTGTCTGTATGTACGCGAACTAGTCTCTCAGTTTTTGAGATATCGTTCTGAAGTTTTGCACACATCCTTTTCTCTCCAATAAGCTACTCATTTGATGAGATATCTTCACGAAATTCGGCCGAGATTATTAACTGAGGCAACAATGTAATCTCCTTAAAAATTGGTCATTTCGGATCACTATAGCATATAGCTGCCATACAAACTGAACGATCGAAATCAAGTGCTTGTATGAAAAACTTTTTCATTTGATGAGATATCTTCATGAAATTTAGCAAGAATTATTCACTAAAGCAATAATATAATCACTGAAGAAATCAGATCGGAACACAATAGCATATAATTGCCATACAAACTGATCTAACAAATTCAAGTCCTTCTATGGAAAACTTTTTATATTACAAGTTATCTTCACGACGTTTGGTAAAGATTATTCTTAAAAACAATGCCATATTCTCCAAATGAATTGTTTAGATCGGATCACTATAGTATATAGCTGTCATACAAACTGAACAATTGGAATCAAATGCTTGCATGAATATTTGTTTCATTTGACAAGATATCTTCAGAAAATTTAGCGCAGATTATTGCCAACGGCAACGCTATAAGTTCCGAAAATATTGTTCAGATCGGACCACTATAGCTGTCATACAAACTGACTGATCAAAATCAGTGTAAAAATATTTTTATACCCTTTTATGTTATAAGAAATACACCTGTGAAGGGTACTATATGTTTTTATCGATTTTATTTCGATTTTTTTACATATGACAAATAGTTGCGTATACGCAAAGGTGCCTTCAATGTTATCGTTTAAATAAAACTATAAATATAAAATAAATTAATGTCCATACTATTGTAGAAACGTCACAGGATTTTATAAGGTTTCGTTGATAGCATTCTTTTATAATAGCATAGTTTGCATAATTAAACCTTTAACCTACAATATTAGAGCTCATATTTCTTCACCCTTGGCAGTTGTATAAAAAATGTGACTTAACAAAAAAATAAAAAATACCTCTAACAATTTTACGCATAAAATTTGCTCGTAAAATGTTTTTCATTTTTACCTTTTTTTAATGCGA